TTTAAATTGAATGCAGCCAGGCCGTTGGCTTTTCCACTTCCCCCACCTTTTTTTCCCCTTACAAACAAGTGACCTGGATCATTTCCACTCTTATTTTTTAAGTCATTTCAAGTCTGCTTTGTGCATGCTGTAGACTAATAAAATTATCTGGTGCAGTTCTGGTAACCTTATTTTGCTATCTTATCTGTCCAATGGAGATGATGAGTCTTCCCTACCGTGCGTGTGGTCTGGGAAATAGCCAGTTTCTTAAACACCTGTATAAACGCCTATCTTAAATATAAGTACATCATAGCAAGAGGAAAAAATGCTGCTTAATATTTATACTACAAGAAAGCTACCTTCTCCTAATAGGGTTTTTAAAATCTTGTCTTCTGTTGCGTTAATGTTCTTTACTGTCCAAACATGGCTAATTATGCACAAACAACGAATTGGGAGTGGGTGGAATCCAATCTTTCTGCTAGCTTGCAAAGTCTGAGATCCACCCAGTGCTGGAAGGCCTGACTCAGCACCCACAGAAACCCCACGGTTATCTTCCCAGAAAAGTAGGTAGGTGAGCAATCGTGTGATGGTTATCTGCAGCCTGTGCATGCAGGGGAGGTGGCTTGTTCAAAATCAGAGCAGAGGCAGTTACAGGGGACAGGCCTGATGAGTAACCTCTGGACCCATTTCTGTGGAGAAACTGTGGCTCTGTACCCCTGCATCGGGAATCTGAAGGGCCAAGGCTGTTGTTGAAACGTGCACAGTGCCGAGGTAATGCTCGTGGCAGGCTAAGTTGTAGTTTTAATCTATTTTACCTTTTCTTGAAGTCTAACCACTTGAACTTTGTGTTTAATTTTTCAGAATACTGTAATCTTCCTAAGACGCGGCGATAAAGAGGGGTGTTCTTTTATATTTCATCTTTGTCCTGGGTAAAGACTACCTAGCCATCCCAACTAATTTGGGTTATGGCAGTCTTTACTAACCCATGGGAAACTTTATCACTGCTTCATTTTTCAAATGCCCGATTATAAATACATGGTTAGAATCTAAAACCGATCTCTTTATTGAACACTGTACTGTGCTGAAGGAGTTGCCGTGCAGAGCAAGATGCTCGATTTGACGTGGTGCTGGAAAGACCAGTATGACTATTCCCCGGGCTGCTTTCTCTTTGAACTCCTGCAGCTCTTTTGGTTGCTGGCAGCGCGCTGTGCTTCAGAGTTGACATAATTGTTGGCGTTGTTTGCAATGAGGGAGCATTGAACTTGCTGATCTTGGCATGCCCTGGCAGGATCCCTGCCTGCCACATGAGTCGTGTCTGACCGTCGCAGCCGTGTGTCGTAATATAAGTGGCTCTCTGTGGAGGCTGGTCCAAGGCCGCTGTGCAGCTGAGCATTGGGAGGAGATTTTGGCTGGACTTCTTTGGCCAAAACTTTAATGCTAGATGCATGAAGTTAGACTGTCATGTATCCAAATATGGATTTAACTTGATGTGGCTTGACTCAAAAGTTCTGAGCATGCTCAACCCCACTTGAAGGCTATGGGAGCTGAAGGGGTTCAGCACCTTGGCAGGCTGAGCTGCTTTTAATTGGGTGTCTGTATGTATTTTGCAGGCCTGCAGTCCAAATGTTGGAGTCATAATCTTGGCCTTTGTAAAACAACCCAAATCCTGGGAAGAAAAGGCTTTAGCCCTACTCAGAAGGTGTGGGGTATTCCTCATATGTCTAGGGAGAGTCTTTTACTTTGTGCTGTTTAGCCAGCAGAAGCACTCAGGATTTTCAAGCCCCGATTAGCGAGGTTTTATGCAGGGTTACAGTGGGCTGCAGTTGTGGGTGAAGAAGTCTCTTTATTTGGGTTTTTGGATGGAGGAGTCTCCTTACTTGGTTTTTCAGAGTTTCAGGGAATTTTGTAATTTGTGTATATATGTATATAACACATATTTATAAGTACTTACTGCCGTGGGCTGAGAATATACTGCACCGTCGGTGTTTGTTCTTGGAAATGGCTTCCAAGTAGTGAACTTCTGCATGCTGGTTTTGGGATCCGTCAGTCCCAAATGGTGTGGGACCATTCCTCTTCCCCTTCCCCCCTCGTGACCACAACAGTGGATATTATCTCAGCCAGTTTACTGTTGGTTACCAGGGATGAAATTGGAATCGGGGTCCCTCTTTTCAGTAGAAGATCTCTTGGATCCTGGGATCTTATTTGCATGGGTCACCGTGGAAATCTCCGCACATCAATGCCACAATTTTAAAATGGGACTAATACTGTTTTCTACCTTGCCTTTGGATTGTACAGCCATCAGTGTAGGGACTGCCTTTTGCTATATGTTTGTACAGAGCCTAACACACAAGAGGCCAAAGCGCTATTGGAGCCTGCAGACCCTGCTGCAATACATACAGCAAAGCTAGGAAGATTTTTGAATCCAAATATGCTTTTGTTTCTTTTCAGCTACAGAAGAATCCTACTTCCAGTCCTGTTGCCGAGGCAAATGGTGGTCTGGCTATCTATTCAAACTCCCTTTGTGCAATGAAATCGCTCCAACACAGACCAGGTATTTACTTCCTCTGTCTAAGTCTTATAAACATTGGTCTCCATCACTGATGTGTCCAGGTGACCTCCAGCTGTTTCTAACCAGGTGAAGAGTTTTTTGGTTTTGTTGGGCTTTGGCGTTTTGCACACGATGAGAATACTCGTTTGTGGAAAGTGAGGTTAGAAGTTGATGTGTGGACAGATTAATATTTCATTTTAAAAGTGGCAGGGGAAGCTACCATGGTTCACCTGAATTTTTTGCAACTGTTTTGTCTGTTCACACCTTTTCTGCATGGTGTTGAAGCTGAACTGCAATCATTTCTCCCAAATTAAAACAGGTGGCTAATTTTTGCAGCTTTTATTTTTGCTTTACTGCAAGATAGCAATGGATGGACAAAGAACAGTTACAGTGGAGTAGCTGACATGCATTTGTGGGCAATAAGTCTGCTTCTCTGCTCAGTCATTTTCAAGTGCTCTTAGGGAAAGAGAGTTTTCTCACATAGTATATTTTCTGCATATTTTTAAAGGGGTCACTTTTCCTAGGGTTTGAATGATTTTTTTTTTGGTTTGTTTTGAACTATAGGACTTTGAATCATTGTAAATGTGTTGCATTGTGTTCTGCCCCTGGAGAAGCCTCTGGTTATTCTCTGTTTTGGTAGTAGGTCGATGATCTTGTTCTTTCTTTAGTACTTACGACCTTTTTCCTGTGGCAGGTAGATTAATTTGGGCCAAAGTGGCTGCTGTGAGGAGTCATTGTAGCAGAGGTGGGACTTCTTCGAGATACCCAGAACCCATCCCTTGGGTTTTTTCAGTACCATGCAGGTTAAGAGTTAGCTTTTACTACTGATTTTCTATATGCAGAAGACCCTATAACAACAATATGTGGGACATGAAAGAATTGCTGTTCATAAAGCATACTCTCCTTAGCCTGCCCTGTTGTCCCTGAATATTGCATGTAAAGATGAGGGCTGCTTTGAGTTACATTATTCTTCAGTGTCAAGACCTAGTAGAAGGGAAGATAAGGTCAGAACCTGTGTCTGAATTATGATTTTTCCTGCTCTTGACAGATTCTAGTCTGAAAACAGTCAAGTTGAAAATAGTCCCATACTAAAAAAGGACAATTATTCTTTACCCAGCTGTTTCAAAGGGGCTGAATGCTATGACCAGTAAAACATTTTTTTTTTTATTAATAAATGGTTTAGGCCAGGGGTTGGCAACCTACTGCCTGTAGGCTGGATCCAGCCTGTGAAGCCTGGATGTTGGCAGCATTTTGGTGGCAGGAGGAATTTTGGGATACGCCACGGGTATGGAGGTGGGGGGAAGTGATGACAGCGAGGTCAGAAGCAGAGGCTTGCCTAGGACTGAGCTGTGTTATTGTCCTATTGCTCAGAAAAAGTTGCCGACCTCTTCTCTGAGCATCTTAAAAGTCGGTGTCCTGCGTCCTTAAACTGCCTTTCCCAAATCCAGGATTGACTGTTGGAAAGATGGGTGATCGGGTCTGTGGGAGAAGGGGTTTAATTTCAAACCCAAATGTAAACCTGTCATTACTGACAGATGAATGTTTCCCTTAGTCTGTCCAATCTTATCAATGGTAAAAACTTATTTTTCATATGTGCTTGCACCAAAATGTATGCAATTAGGAAGGCAAAGCCCCTAAAACAAATTGTGGGGCTAAGGGGGGGCATTATCTCAGGCCATTGCTAGCCCCATGCCTTGGTATAGCATATTAGAGCAGTGACTAATAAGAACAGGGATGGCATGGGCACTCTATGTTCGGGCACACATGCGGAGCAGCAGATAGGTCTGGGGAAGAGGATCAGAGTGGCACTCGTAGGGGGCGTGGGGTTAATTTATGGCATGCCTGCCAAAAATGTTGGACCTGTCTAGACTCACGGAAACCTGCCCTGACTTTTTGTCTTAAAGTAGCTTCCATGAAACAGGACAATTAAATAGCATACTACAGAAATGGCAGAGTCCAGGCAGGAAAAAAACCCTCCCGTAACCAAATGTGTATGTCTATGTGGTATAGAATGGAAGTTGAAAATGCCAACTCCTTGTTAATTCAGCTTGTAGCTAAATAAATAATGTCTTGGTGTTAAGGAAGTTGTCTCTGCTGCTTGGGAAGTACCATAGTGGATGGTTCAATACATAATTATAAAAGAGGTGAGCCAGCTGGCAGTATACGAAGGTGTAGCAAAGAAATATATCTTCTCTGTCCACTTGTAGATTCAGTTCCTCTGCCACAGCGGCCAGTCTTCGATATAAGTATTACTTTCACTGAAAGGTCACGGTGCAGTGGGATGTAGTTGTTAAGTTTGACTCGCAGCATGTCATGTCATTTTAATGACTTACTCTTCCTTATTCTTCCCAGAAAGTAGAATCCTCCTGCGAACAAAACCTCTCTAGCTTCAGCAGTGTCTGCATAATAGTATAAAATGCCTAATTACAGTTTCAAATTGAATATTAACTGAGATGAAATTTAGCTCAAAATTCACTGCAAAGGCTAGCTTTGTTTTCATGTTAAAATCTAAAGTCATTGAAGGGTCTTGACTTCAGAGAAGGAAGACTTTGTTGTTTCAGAAGCTGGTAATATTACATGCTTTTCATCCTATTTTATCCCTGCCCTAAATTGTTACCTGCTGAGATGCACCTTGAACTAAGTTCTTTCCCCCCACCCCCGTTTAAAAATCCTTCTACACATGTGAAGATGAGGCTTTTAACTATAGACCTGAAGATATTTGGGCTTTGAAAGCTCCATCAAGTATTTCAGTAAGCCAGCATTAGTGAGACACTGATCTCAAAATAACATTTTTCTGAAAATTTTATACATAACATGCAGCAGTTATAAGTGACACCCATAATTATCATCACTGAAAGATGTTGGCAAGGCAAAATGCTTTTTTCTGTTTCATTTTCTTGTACGTTGACAGCACTTTGTGTAGCTTGTCATTTACTTCATAGTTTCTCCTGTACTAGAAAGAAAAAAGGCCCATAGAATTATTATAGAGAGAGAGGAAAAAAAACCCTTAAGTTTTTTAAAGGGATGATGAAAAGATGAACTACTTACTATTTTTTTTTTTTAAATAAATCATTTAAAGGCATCCTGTAAACATTTGTTTTCCCTTTTTAACCTCTGCTCTGCTTCTTTTGACAGTATGTCCAAGATTATGCCTTCCAAGGAGATTTTCCATTGTTGTTTTTAGCACAGTAACAGATTTCCTTTTTTTTTTTTTTTTTTTTTTTTTTTTTTTTT